AGTATATGACATTAAAGGTGGCCACCAGTAAGAGTGTAAAAGATCCTATGATTGTTATCTAATGATATTTGAACCATGTCCAGAGATTCAAAAAGACTGGAATAGCTATTGTCTTGGTGAGAGTCTTATCCACCTAAATAATTTTAGGGAGCATTTGAAGCTATGGATTTAAAATGAAATTCCAAACCACCTTCCAAAAATGCTGCAATTTTTTGAGGCATCGAGTCCCTCTGAACAAGGAATACAAGAAGTCACAAGATATAAATGATGCAGCACACAAAGGATTACATTCTCTGAGTCATGGAAGGTGGAAGAGAACCTCACTGGTGTATGCTTAAGACACCAAGAATCCATGCAGTGAAGTCCCCTAGAAGCTCCACAATACTGCCAATAACCATGGAGACAAGGATAGAGCAAGAACTCTCTTTCTCCTATTTCATTAACTAACTTTTCATTGAAATTTTAAAATTCAGACGCACCAATACATAATGGAACAATTAACACAGAAATTAGAAGAGAGGACTGCAAATTTCCAATGATTTGATCTCACCTATGCATCCTTCTTTGACCAAAAATTGAATTCTCCATGGCTCCATTTTTGTGAGAGACTCACGAAGCTAACGGAATTCTTCCGTAATGCTCTTATTCTTCAACAAAATGTGGGCATTAATTGGAGAGGGTTTGGCAGTATCTATGTTTAATTGGAAAAGTAGCACAAACAACTTTCTAATAAGTGGTTTAAAAAACGGATTGGTGACCCGGATCGGGCATACCAATAACCGATCCGGATCAACAAATCAGTGATTCGGATAAAAAATCGGGCCGAATCGCTCGGATTAAGCCTTAAAAAAATTCAAAAAAATTATTAAAATTCATTATAAATATGGTTTTTTAGGAATCCAATAAGAAATGGGGTTACTACATTATTAACTTTCATTGTTTTCATCAATTTATGAATATTGAGATGTTCTTTCCCTATATGAACTTATGTTGACCATTAAATTTACATCACACAAAAGAAATCATAGAATTATCATGGACTACAATAAAGAGTTGACTAAATCGATGAAAATTTGACCACTAAAATATCGAATTAACGGAAA